TGCCTCCCGGCAATTTGCCTCCTGGAGCAAACAGCAAGTTTCACTTTCAATTTCTCCCGATCATCAGTTGTTAGAGACCGCTATAGTTTATTGAAGCCTCCACAAGCCCCCACGTTTGCTGCAAAGAGGTAAATTGCTGGGGACAGAGACCAAAAGGTTGGAGCCGATGGGTGTGTGGGGCTACATTCAGTGTATAAGACGCACCCAAATTTTCACCCTCTTTTAGGGGGGAAAAGGTGCGTCTTATACTCTGAAAAATACGGTAGGTCTGTCACCTCCTGTAGACAAAGCCCCACGTCCTTCCCTGCCTAAGCCCCCTGTCTCCTCTGCTTCAGCTGAAGCATCCATACCTCCTCCTGGAAGCAAGACACAGAAGAACCTACCTTGGCCCACATGATGCCACGGATGATGTCCTGTGCCTTCAAAGCGCAGGCTGGAGAGCACTGAACCTCTTCCTTTTATACATGTCGGAGGAGGAGTGATGGGTGGTGACTACCAATGGCCTTTCAACATCTGCAATTTTCCCTGCTCGGCATGGCTCTTTGGCCACTGCTGCCCCGAATTGCAACAGGCTCTGTCGCTGTGTTAACAGCAAGTCACGTGCTGAGTCAGACAAAATGATTTCGACTTAACAAAAAAGCCTTGTGATTGACGCAGAGTTAGGCCCCCACCTATCCCCGGGGCGCTTGTGTGTTATGAAAGGACACAGCTGGAGGGGAGTCCCCCAAGCCTCTTTCGCAAGTGAGCCTTTCCTGCCTAAGGACCCAACGGATATGTACAAGGATTCCCACAGTAGCAGCGACAGCAGCAGACTCTACGTCTTGTCAGCCTGATGGCCAAAATGCAGCTACAGTCCTCGACTTACTACCACAATTCAGCCCAGTGTTTCTGTTCCTAAACGAGACGGTTGTGAAGAGACTTTTACCCTCTTGAACGGCCTTGCTCACCATCGCCGTAAAGTGAATCCCGGCAGTGATTCAGTTAGTAACACGGTTGTTAAATGAATCTGGTTTAGCCATCAACTTTGCTCATGAGAAGGTCGCAAAAAACAGGATCACGTGATGCCGGGACACTGCAACGGTCATAAATGTGAGTCAGTGGCCAAGTGTCTGAATTTCAATCACGTGACCCTGGGAATGCTGCAGCGGCCCTAAGGGTGAAAAATGGCTCTAAGCCCCTTTTTTTCAGTGTTGTAACTTCAAACATTTGCTAAATGAACTGTTGTAAGTAGAGGGCTACTGGTATATGTCTCTCTGCCAGTGGTAAGTGGCGGAAGGAGCATCTCTCGATCCATCCACGCATGGTCCAAAATGATGCAGCCCAACTTAAGACATCTGATTGAGCCTTCTGCTCATTTGTTTTAAACCTTGATGAAAGTGGTTTTTTTTATTTCAACCGCCTCTGGCAGGTGTCCGTCATTTGGGCAGGGAGTCCAAAGTCTGAAAGACAATTTCACAGAGAAACCTATCCAAAGGGTTGTGAGATGTTGAGACTAGAAGAAGGAAGAGGAAGGTTTTACCCATGGAAACCATTCGCCGCCTGAGCTGGAAAATTGGAGTTGTTCCATCCAGTTCAGTTGGGGACCATCTTGGCTGCTAAAAAATCTGACTGTGGGTTCCTGTTGTGGCCCGCCAACAGCCAGTGGAGCTGGCAGCAGATTCGGACAGTGAGGAGGTTGGGGAGGAAAATGGGCCATTCCTGGAGTCTGGGGAAGGCTCTGATGAGGGCTCTGTGTCAGAGGCAGAGACGGGCCAGAGCCGTATGCCAGTTATCAGCTGCCTTCAGAGTCATACATCAGTGAGGCAGATGAACAGCTGGAGCCTGTTCCCAGTGTGTGCATGCGCAGAGTTGCTAGACGAAGGGAATAGCTAAGGAACAAGAGTCGAGTTGGGAGTAAGGCCACAGGTGGACAGAGAATGGCCCCTCCCAGAAGAAATAAAAGAGGAGCAAAAGGGGAGTGGAGTTTGCAGGAGACAATTAATTCATTCCTGCATTCTTGCCAAATATTGCGGTGTCTGAAAGATATCGGCCTGGCCACTCTCCAAGCCTGATAAAGTTCGGTAATTGTGAACTCTCTTGAAAGACTGTGGGTTGGGACTTTGCTGGAGAGGAATTCACTGTAAATTAAATAAAAGGGATTTATCGGGACGAGGACTCGGCTTTGTGTTGTTGGGGAAGCCTAGCTCAGAACAGTTCCTAGAATGTTCTGAACAAGGCCAGCAGCTGCACCAGTGAAAAAAGTCAACTTTTATTCATTAAACCTTGGTTTGCTCTTTCTGCCCTTCATCGTAGTGTTGTAGGAGACAAGGTAGCTGAGCCCGAAGGTTGCGTCAAATGCATCATCAGCCTGGAATCTCTACATCTCATAATAGACCTAAATTCAGCCTCTCTTTGGCGTCCATTGACTTTTATGTGGCACCAATTTGCCTTGATCATTAATACTCTGGGTTAGATCTGCCACCTCGCTCGCGTGTTCTCCTCACTTCAGTGCCAGCCTGCCATGGATGATGGGGAGGGGAGGAAAGCCATTTGGAAGGTTCCACCACAAAACCGCGCTCGACTAAACCGCGTCTGATTAAACCGCATAGCTACGTCATCAACAGGGCGACAACAGCGCGGAGACAGAAGCATGCTGTAAACCCTAAACCTAAAATTAACAACAAAACAGCACACAAGAGTATGTTAAATGCAATGGCACTAATCAGCAGAGGTGGGTATCANGTATTTTCGTTATTATTATTATTATTATTATTATTATTATTATTATTATTATTATTATTATTATTATTATTATTATTATTATTATTATTATTTCATTAAACATGAAACTCAGCCAACTCAACATTCAAAAATGCACCACAAATATCATTGACTGGTGCTAATGGTTGAAAAGGATTGCTGCAAGCTTCTAGTTATCAACCAAGTACCGTATTTTTCGGAGTATAATATGCACCGGAGTATAAGATGAACCAAGATTTTGAAGAGGCAAATTTTTAAAAAACGTTTTTGCACTCTGCAGCTTTCCCAAAAATGGCCTGTTTTTTGTGAAAACGGGCCCATTTTTTGTCAACAAAAGGGCATGAATAGTCTTTAGGAGGCTTATAGAGTGCTCCTGGAGGCTGGTGGGGGGGCAAAAAATGAGCAGAAAACAGTTCTTTTTGCTCATTTTTGCCCTCCTGAGGCACAGGAGCACCCTGGAAGCCTCCTAAGGTTATGCACGACTATTTTGCAAAAGGGGCAGGATTTTAGGAGGCCAAAAATGCTGTATTCAGAGTATAAGACGCACCCAGATTTTTGCCCTCTTTTTTGAGGGAAAAGGGTGCATCTTATACTCCGAAAAATACGGTACCTTCTTAAAATATATAATGTTCCGAGTAGAGCAGATTTTTGCAGTTCTGCTGGTGTTATTGCAGGAGGCTGCAATTTGTTGCTGAATCTTATAATATTCTTGGACATGGTACCAAGTGCCCTGATGACAATGGGTATCACTGTTGTTGTTGTTGTTATGACTGCATCTTGCTCACCGAGCAGTTCAAGAACATGCAGATGCAAGTAGATTAATAGGTACCATTTCAGTGGGAAGATAACAGCCTTTCATGCACTTTTGGTGTAGAGCCATGCTGGCCACATGACCACAGAAATTGTCTTCAGACAATGCTGGCTCCCTCAGTCAAAAAACGGAGATGAGCACCATGCCCTAGATTTGGACATCACTGACAGGGAAACCTTTATTTTATTGTGTCCTTATGGCTGGCTTTGCATATTTTTATATTTTTCAATCTGATGCAAAGTTACTGGAATTGCAGCCTGACTGTATCTGCTATATTATAACAGTAGAGGAAGTTGAATGAGCAAGAATAGCATTTGGCAGAATTGTATATCCATTAATCCTTGGCCCAAACATTTTGCCTGCCCGCAGATTTCAGCCCCACTTTCTCACCAGCTTCTCGGATGAGCTTGCGAGCTTTGGATTCAGTGATGGAAGACATCTCATATGACTTGTAGTGGCTGCAAGAATGTTGGAAGCTGCAGAAAGGTACACTCTTACAGTAGATAATACAATCCGAAAGTTCCTTTGAGAGGGAATGTTTACCTTTCTGAAAAAAAATATAATGTTCATCTGCAGATTATTAATAAATAATACTCCTGCCAAAAATGGGGAATAGTACAGTATTTTTCGGAGTATGAGACACATCTTTTTCCCGCAAAAAAGAGGCTGAAAATCTGGGTGCGTCTTATACACTGAATACAGCATTTTTGGCCTCCTGAAACCCCACCCCCTTCACCAAAATGGCCGTGAATTGCCTTTAGGAGGCTTCTAGAGTGCTCCTGGGGCTGGGGAGGGCGGAAATGAGCAAAAAATGGGCTGTTTTTTGCTCAATTTTGCCTCCCCCCAAGAGGCTCTATAAGCCTCCTAAAGGCTATGCATGCCCTTTTTTGACAAAAAATGGGCCCGTTTTCACAAAAAATGGGTCATTTTTTGCTTTTTTTTGTGGGCGCCACCCCCACCCCCCAGGAACACTCTACAAGCTTCCTAAAGGCTATTCGTGGCCTCTCTTTTTTTGAAAAAAAGGACCCATTTTCGTAAAAAACAGGCCGTTTTTGGGAGGTCTGCATAGTGCTAAAACTTTTTTAAAAAATGCCTCTTCAAAACCTTGGTGCATCTTATACTCTGAAAAATACAATATCCTTTTTTTTTGCATATAGAGCTTGACACCTTTGTAATTTAATGTGTTCAAGTTCTGGATTTTACACAACTGACCAGTCTAGCAACACACACAGACACACACAAACACACACACCAGTATGTGTATTGTATCCAAAATGGTCATTGTTAAAATATGATAATGACACTTTCCTAGAAGTCACATTTAGTCAAAAGTGGGAGAGGAGCAAAATTTTGTCATGGCAAGAAGGGAGGGATTAAACATTAATAGATAAATGAATCTACTAGAGATCATTTTGAGTTGAAATCAGCAGAAATATTGCTGTATCTAAGATTTGCCGATGAATTTAGGTGGCATGATTTTGGGAAACTTTCTGCAAGGTACAAAATAGGGATTCAGGCAGGGGTGGGATCCTACCAGTGATGGGTTCCAGATTCCGTTACAACCAGTACGGGGCTGAGCGTCCACCAACGACACACACGCTATGCACACATCTGCACCCACCGCCCTGTGATGCTTCCGCTGCTCAGTGGAGCATTACACAGGTGCCGTACGCTGCACGTGTGTGCACAAATGGCCCACTAGCTTAAAAGAGGTAAGAAACGAGGTTGGGTAGGTGTGTGGGTCCAATGAAAACACCATTCCGATATGGTGGCAGCTGCTCCCAGGTGCCACCGGTATTCCCACACTGGGGCATACCGCCCGGAACCCACCACTGGATCCTACTGGTTTAAGAACTGGTTCGCTGCGTGTGCAAAACCAGTTCTTAAACCAGTAGGATCCAGTGGTGAGTTCCGGGTGGTATGCCTCAGCAGTTTAGAGAATATTTACCTTCCGGATTGCTGCTTGGGAAGGAAAACAGCTGGGGCAATCCACTCTGCCGTGCGACTCAGCTGAGAAGATAAAGGTAGGTAAAGCACAGGGGCGGGTGAGTGAGTCCAATTGCTTGTGGGAGAGAACCGGTTTGCTCCTAACTGATCTTCGGAGCTATAGGTTTGCCCAAACTTGTCCGAACCGCTAGAATCCCACCCCTGGATCCAGGTTGCATTCTCTAATTGTAAATAGTAGGCCATCTGGGAGAGTGTCCACATACCTTCTCTTTCCTCTTGTCTTCACTACGCAGGGCCTCTTCTTCTGTCTCATTTACTTCCTCCTCAATAACTTCTTCCCGTTCAGGCATCTTGTCTGGATGCTCATTCAGAGAATCTTCCAGATATCCAATCTTCTTGCCCTTTAGAATGATCTTGCCCTTCAATTCCTGCATGTGGACACATAAACGAGATTGGAACAGGAGGATAATTCTATTGCTTTTGGAAGAAGCAGCTCAGCTACGTTGCTTTGGTTATAAGACCCCAGCATTTCCACAAGAATGAGTTTTGATGGATGGCAAGATTGCTGAGTTTAGATATCTGTCAAAACTCACTATGACAAGCATTTTGCATTGGTGCATTCAAAGAACATTCAACTATTTCCTGGATAGTTTTGGATGCAGACTTTGCACTATTCCAGAAAAGTAGTAAATCCCTCTTAAAAAGCAACCCAAACCACAACATAGAGTACTACTTAGAGCACAGGTGTCAAACTTACAGCGTCACATTGCTGTCACGTGACGTATCACAATGGTTTTTCCCTTCGTAGAGCTGGGATGGGCATGGCCTTCGCATGATGCATCCAGCCTGCAGGCCACCAGTTTGACACCCCTGACTAAGAGCATGCTGGCTAGGGAATTCTGGGAATTGAAGTCTACATACATATCTGGACTTGATAAGGTTGGGAAACGTGGTTTAAAAATTCAAGAAGCATTGCTCCAGGAAGCAGCAGAGAACCACCATGCAGTCCCGTTATCACCACCAATCAATTGTTGTTCAAGCTGATGCAGATCTCCAAACTGGGGCCACCTAAGAGCCTGGAAGGGCACAGGTGGAGATCCTGGTTGGAAAGATCTGAAATTTCCTGTTGCCTGGAAAATTTCCAACAGTTCTGGAAAACAAGGTCCAGGAAGGCAATGTTCCTACAACAGCTTAGAGTTGTACAACAGCTTAAAGTTAGAGATGTGAGCCTGGTGCTATCTCAGCTGGGTCACCTGACCGTACTTCTGATTCATTTTTCAGTTAAATGCATTTTTCAGTGAAAAAATCTGTGAAATATAAGGGGGGGGGAAACAGGATGTTTTAAAGCTGTCTAATATGAACTGGGAATGAGACAAAAAACACAGTATGTAAAACACAGTATGGTGATGTAGCAGGGAAAAAGGGGGGGCTTTAGCTGTGTAAATCAAGAAAGATTCTATGTAAGCTCACTTTGTTCCTAAGTCTGACATAATTCAGGGCATTTCTATTTCTTCTTCCTCTCTTGGTTTTTGTACCATCTAGCCTGATGAAGAATTCTGAAAACTTCAATAACTCCTATGTTATTTTTTGGCATTTTAGTTGCTCAATATCCACCTGCTTATTTATGAATTTGAAAACATCTTCTCATTTTACATTTGAATTTAGTGAAGGGCAGCCTGGATAATCATTAGATGAAAGTTCTTAATTACTCTATGTTCTTACTTCAGGTGAAGGCAATTGCACAGGAACAAGGTCATCAATGGTGTTGATGAGGAGTCGTTCTCCCAGTACGCCTTTCAGCAGTTGTGCCATGATGTCTTGTTGTTCTATGCTGCAGTGATTCTCGATAGATAGAATGATGGGGTAATCAGAAACCTGGTTAAAGGGTTAAAGCATTTTGGATAAAAATATGATGGATTATGCAAAATATTCTTAAAAAGAGGATAAAGTTTACCCCTCAGTTATTCCTATTAGGTATAACTACTGACTGTACTGTTATAGAGACTAACTTGATTTTGTACTTAATAACGGCAGCAAGACTGTTGGTGGCGCAATACTGGAAGAAGGAAGATTTGCCTACTATTCAAGAATGGACATTAAAAGTAACAAACTTAGCAGAGATGGCTAAAATATCAGCATATCTTAAGGACCACTCAGATGAGAAATATAAACTGGAGTGGAGAAGATGGTTTGACTATATTCAAAATAAATACGGGACTAAGAAATTCCAGATGACGATTGACTATATACAAAATAAATACGGGACTAAGAAATTCCAG